TACTCAGTAACCGATAATCAACACCTGAATCAATACCAGCTCATCAATAACCGGTATTCAGTAACCGACAATCAATACCCGGTTATCTACACCCGAATCAATAACTGATAATTGATGCAGGATAATCAATATCCTAATCAATAACTGATACTCAGTAACCGATAACCGATACCTGATAATCAACACCTGAATCAATACCAGCTCATCAATAACAGGTATTCAGTAACCGCTAATCAATACCCGGTAATCTGTACCCAAATAAATAGCTGATAATTGATACAGGATAATCAATACCTTAATCAGTAACTGATACTCAGTAACCATTAATCAATACCTGATAATCGATACCCAAGTCAATACCCGCTTATCAATAATAGGTATTCAATAACCGATAATCAATACCTAGTAATCTGTGCCCAAATAAATAGCTGATAATTGATATAGGATAATCAATACCTTACTCAATAACTGATACTCAGTTACTGATAATCAATACCCGAATCAATACCCGCTTATCAATAACTGGTATTCAATAACCGATAATCAATACCCGGTAATCTATACCCGAATCAATAATCGATAATTGATACAGGATAATCAATACCCTAATCAATAACTGATATTAATAAGCCATAATCGAAATCTGATAATCGACACCCGAATTAATACCTGCTTATCAATAACTAATAATCAATACCCGGTAATCTATACCCGAATCAATAATCGATAATTGATACAGGATAATCAATACCCTAATCAATAACTGATATTCAGTTACCGATAATCAACACCCGAATCAATACCCGCTTATCAATAATTGGTTCTCAATAACCAATAATCAGTACCCAGTAATCTATACGCATCAATAACAGGTATTCAGTAACCGCTAATCAATACCCGGTAATCTGTACCCAAATAAATAGCTGATAATTGATACAGGATAATCAATGCCCTAATCAATAACTGATATTAATAACCGTTAATCGATACCTGATAATCGATATCCGAATCAATACCAGCTTATCAATAACTAATAATCAATACCCGGTAATCTATACCCGAATCAATAACTGATACTCAGTAACCATTAATCAGTAACTGATAATCGATACCCAAATCAATACCAGCTTATCAATAATTGGTATTCAATAACCGATAATCAATATCTGATAATCGATAGCTGAATCAATAACTGATAATTGATGCAGGATAATCAATACCCCAATCAATAACTGAAACTCAGTAACCATTAATCAATAATTGATAATCGATACCCAAATCAATACCAGCTTATCAATAATTGGTATTCAATAACTGATAATCAATATCTGATAATCCTCAGTAACCATTAATCAATAATTGATAATCGATACCCAAATCAATACCAGCTTATCAATAACTGGTATTCACTAACCGATAATCAATATCTGATAATTGATACCTGAATCAATACCCGCTAATCAATAACCGATAATTGACACCTGATAATCAATACCCCAATCAACACCTGATAACCAATACCCAGGAATCAATTCCCAATTATCAATAACTGATAATTGCCAAGCGATAATCAATAACTGATATTCAACACCTGCTAATCAATAACCGATACTTGACAACCAATAATCAATACCTGATAACCAATACCTGCTAATCGATACCCGACAAGCAACACCTGATAACCGATACCCGATAATCGATAACCAATAATCAATCCCCGATAATTGATCCCTGCCAATCGATCCCCAATAATCAATCCCCGCGGATCAATACCCAATAACAGATAACTGATAATCGATAACCGATAATCGATCCTGATAATCGATAATCAACAATCTACGGCCAATACCTGATAATTGATCCCCAAAACCCAATACCCAATAACCGATCATCAATACCCGATATTCAATAACCAAGAACCAATTGATAATTGACAATTGATCCCGATAACCAATATCTGATAATCGATCCCAAATAACCGATAATCGATCCTCGATAATCAATAATCGATAATCGATCCCCAATACTCAATAATCGATAATCGATCCCCAATACCCAATAATTGATCACCGATAACCAATACCTGATAATCGATCCTCGATAATCAATAATCGATAATCGATCCCCAATACCCAATAATTGACCCCGATAACCAATACCTGATAATCGATTCTCGATAATCAATAATCGATAATCGATCCCCAAAACCCAATAATTGATCACCGATAACCAATACCCAATAACCGATAGCCAATAATCGATCCCTGATAACCGATACCCAATAATTGATAATCGATAATCAATCCCAAATAACCAATACCCAATAATCGATCCCCGCTAATCGATGACCGATCCCCGCTAATCGATAACGATAACCGCTAATCGATAATCGATTCCCGCTAATCAATAATCGATAACCAATAATCAACATTCGAACCCCGATAACCAATCCCCGATCGCCGCCAATTGATAACCGATAATCGATCCCCGCTAATCAATACCCAATAACCGATAACCGATCCCTGATAACAGATAATCGATAACCACTAACCGATTCCCAATCCCTGCTAATCAATACCCAATAACCGATAATCGATCCCTGCTAATCGATCCCCGATATCTGTTGATTGATCCCCACTAATCGCTAACCGATCCCCGATAATCAATAATCAATAACCGATAATCGATCCCTGCTAATCAATACCCAATAACCGATAACCGATTCCCGCTAATCAATACCCAATAATCGATCCCCGCCAATCGATTACCGATAACCACTAATCGATAATCGATTCCCGCTAATCAATACCCAATAACCGATCCCCGATCCCCAACACCCGCCAATCGATCCCCGCTAATCGATAACCGATACCCGATAATCAATAATCGATAACCGATAATCGATCCTCACTAATCAATACCCAATAACCGATAACCGATAATCGATCCCCGATAATCAATAATCGATAATCGATCCCCGATAACCAATCCCCGATAACCGATTCCCGATCCCCGCCGATCGATCCCCGATCCCCGCCGATCGCTAATCGATAACCGATAATCGATCATCGATGACTCACCGCGGGCCGGGGGCGCCCCCAGCGCTCCGGGCGCTCCCAGCGCGGCCATGGCCGCCAGCAGCGGGGGGCGGGGCCAATGGGGGCGGGGCTAACGGGGGAGGGGCCAATGGGGGGGAAAATGGGGGAAAATTGCGGAAAATTGAGAAAAATTAGGGGGAAATGGGGGAAAATTGGGGAAAAATGGGAGAAAATGGGAATTAAATGGGGGAAATGGGGAAAAACGGGGAAAATTGGGAATTAAATGGGAAAAAAATGGGAAAAATGGGGGAAAATGGGAAAATTGGGGAATTAAATGTGGGGAAAAGGGGGGAAAAGGGGAAAAATGGGGGGAAAAGGGGGGAAAAGGGAATTAAAAGGGGAAAAATGGAGGGAAAAGGGGGGAAAAAGGGAATTAAAAGGGGGAAAATGGGGAAAATTGAGAAAAATTAGGGGGAAAATTGGGGAAAAGTGGGAATTAAATGGGGGAAAATGGGGGAAAAGGGGCAAAATGGAGGAAAAAGGGAATTAAAAGGGGAAAAATGCGGAAAAATTGAGAAAAATTAGGGGAAAATTGAGAAAAAATGGGGGAAAATGGGGGAAAAAGGGCAAAAATGGGGGAAAATTGAGAAAAATTGGGGGAAAATTGGGGAAAAATGGGGAAAAAGGGGAATTAAATGGGGAAAAGTTGTGAGGAAAATGGGGGAAAAAAGAGGGAAAAAAGGAAAATAAAGAGGGAAAATGGGGAAAAATAAGGAAAAGTGGAGGGAAAAAAAGAGGAAAAAAGGGGAAAAAATGAGGGGAAAAATTAGGGGGAAAATTGGGGAAAAATGGGGGAAATTAGGGAAAGAAAGAGGGGAAAAAAGGAGGAAAATGGGAAAAAATAGGAGAAAAAAGGGAATTAAAGGAAAATTAGGGGGAAAATTGGGGAAAAATGGGGGAAATTAGGGAAAGAAAGAGGGGAAAAAAGGAGGAAAATGGGAAAAAATAGGAGAAAAAAGGGAATTAAATGGAGGGGAATTGGGAAAAAAAGGAGGAAAAATGGGGAAAAGAGAGGAAAATATGAAAGGAAATTGGGAAAAATGGGGAAAAATGAGGGGAAAAGGGGAATTTAAGGGGGAGGGAAATTGGGAAATAAAGGAGGGAGGAAATGGGGGAAAAATGGGAAAAAAAGGGAATTAAAGGGAGGAAAAATAAAGGAAAAATCGGGAAAAAAAAGGAGGATTTGTGAGGGAGAAAGGAGGGAAAATGGAGGGAAAATGAGGGAAAAAATGGAGGGAAAATGGGGCAAAAACGGGGCAAAAAAGGGAATTTAGGGCGGGGTTTGAGGGGGAATTTCTGAGGCAAAAAAGGCGAATTTTAGGGAGGGGAAAAAGGGAAAAATAAAGGAAAAAAATAGATAACGGGAGGGATTTTTGTGGGTGTTGTGGGGTGTGAGGGGATTTTGGGCGGGAGTTTGGGGGTTTTGGGGGTTTGGGGGTTTTTTGGGTGTTTTGGTGGGTTTTAGGGAATTTCGGGGGATTTTTGGAGCACTGGGCTGGATTTTGCCGGCGTTAAGGGGTGTGGGAGGTTTTTAGGGGATTTTGGACGATTTTGGGCGGGAGTTTTGGAGGGTTTTGTGACATTGAGGGAGGCACACGGAGCCACAACCCCGAGACACCCGGAGACACACCTGGACGGGTGCGCGAGCCCTCAATGTCCCCTAAAATCGCCCAAAATGCCCCAAATTCACCCCAAAATCCACCCGCGCCCCCTTGGAGGACCCCGCTCTCACCTCCTCCCTCAGAAAAACATGGCGGCGTCCTAAGCGGCCTCCCTTCATCTCTATGGTCGTCCCGTCCCCCTCCCTTATTGGGCGACACCGCCCCCGCTGCGTGCTCTGATTGGTTATCAGGAAGAAAGTGGGCGTGGCGTCTTTCACCGGAGTATATAAAGCGAGGCTGGCGAACGCGCCAGTCTTTCGGTGCCCGCGAACGCGGCGTAGCTAAGGTGAGCCGGCTCTCGCCGCCGGTACCGGGGATCCCTTCGGGCCTCCCCCCGCCTATCCCAGAGCCTCTCCGGTGCCACCGGGACCTCCCCGGGATTTACCGGGAGCGGCGGCATCGCTTTAATGCGGGGCTGAGGCCTCGGCAAAACTCTGAGGCCCGCGCCGAGCTCTGAGGGCGCACGCGCGGCGCCGGCGCCGCCTAGCGGGAAAGGACGGCGCGCATGCGCAGAGCGCGCCACGTGGTTGTTGGGGGGGGGGCCGCTGGAAATTTAGGAATTTTGGGGAAATTTGGGAATTTTCGGGGAAATTTGGGATTAAAGAATATCGCGATATGGCCCCGCAGCAGTCGCCATGCCCGTGGCCAGGAGCTGGGTGTGTCGCAAGACCTACGTGACCCCGCGGCGCCCCTTCGAGAAGTCGCGGCTCGACCAGGAGTTGAAACTGATCGGTAAAACCGAGGGGGAAATGGGAAATTTTGGGGATTTGTGAGGGAAAAAAATGGGAATTGTGGAAATTGTGAGGGGGGAAGATGGTGTTTAGGGAGGAATAAAGGGGTTTTCGGGGGAAAAAGGGGGTTTTGGGGGGGGAAATGGGATTTTGGATGGGAAAAAATTAGAATTTGTGGGGATTTTTGAGGGGGAAAATTCTGGATTTTTGGGGATTTTTGAGGGGGAAAATTCTGGATTTTTGGGGATTTGTGAGGGGAGAAATGGGAATTTTGGAGATTATGAGGGGAAAAATTCAGGTTTGGGAAGGAAAAAGGAGATTTGCGGGGAAAAATGGGGTTTAAGGGGGGGAAGTGGGGTTTTTGAGGGGGAAAGATTTTGGATTTTGAGGGATTTATGAGGGGGGAAATTTGGAAAAAAATTGACGTTTTGAGGGGAAAATTAATAAATAAGGTATTGAGATAAAGATTTTTGGTTTGAGGGATTTATGAGGGGGGAAATTTGGAAAAAAATTGACGTTTTGAGGGGAAGATTAATAGAAAATAAGGTTTTGAGATAAAGATTTTTTGGGGGAAAAGATGAGTTTTTAGGAAAAAAAAAATCCTGATTTTAAGGGGAAAAAAATTCAGATTATGAGGAGAAAATTTGATATTTTTAGGAAAAAGCTGGATTTTTTTGGGAAAAAAGGGATTTTTGTGGGAAAAAAAAGGAATAATTTGGGGTGTTAATTAAAGTTTTGAAGGGAAAATGGGGAAAAAAAGGATTTTGGGGAAAAAATCCCTTTTTTATTCAAATAAAGTGGATTTTGGCGGGCCAGGGAAAGATTTTGAGGGAGGGAAATGAGGAATTGGGGAGGGGAAATTGGGTTTTTTTGGGGGAAAACTGCATTTTGAGGTAAAAAAATAATATGGAGGTAAAGAAAAAAGGTTTTAGGGGAAAATATATGAAAATATATGAAAATTTTAGAGAAGAAAATCCACATTTTAAGCGGAAAAAGCGAGGTTTTGAGGGAAAAAAATCGCGATTTTTGCTTAAAATCGCGGATTTTTTGGCGGAAAAAAGAGGTTTTTGTGGGGAAAAGGGTTGGGAATTGCTGGATTTTTTGGGAATTCGGGGGATTTTGCCGGTTTTTAGGGGAGTACGGGCTGCGGAACAAGCGCGAGGTGTGGCGGGTGAAGTTCACGCTGGCCAAGATCCGCAAGGCGGCGCGGGAGCTGCTCACGCTGGACGAGAAGGACCCGCGGCGCCTCTTCGAGGGTCGGTTTGGGCTCCAAAAAAGCCTTTTTTTACCTTGAAATTTTGGGTTTTTTGTTGTTTAGTTTGCCTTTATTTTATTGGGTTTGTTGGGGGTTATTTGTGATTTTTTTGTGATTTTTTTTTTCTGAATTTTTTCTATTTTTTTCTGATTTTATCCTGTTTTTTTTACGATTTTATTGTGATTTTTTTTCAATATTTTTGGGCATTTTTTTTCTGATTTTTTTTCCGAATTTATTATGATTTTTTTTAATATTTTTTGGATTTTTTTCCGATTTTTTTCTGATTTTTTTTCAATATTTTCGGGTGATTTTTTTCTGAATTTATTATGATTTTTTTTCAATATTTTTGGGAATTTTTTTTCTGATTTTTTTCCTGATTCTTTTCCGAATTTATTATGATTTTTTCAATGTTCTTTAATTTTTTTCCCAATTTTTTCTGATTTTTTTCCGATTTTTTTCCTGATTTTTTTCAATATTTTCGGGATTTTTTTTCCTGATTTTATCCTGAATTTTTTTACGATTTTATTATGATTTTTTTCAATATTCTTTAGATTTTTTTCCCGATTTTTAAAATTTTTTTTTCCGATTTTATTATGATTTTTTCAATATTTTTGGGATTTTTTTTTTCTGATTTTTTTCCGAATTTATAATGATTTTTTTCAATATTTTTGGGGTTCTTTTCTAATTTTATCCTGATTTTTTTCTCGATTTTGTTATGATTTTTTTCAATATTTTCGGGATTTTTTTTTTCTAACTTTTTTTCTGCTTTTTTTACGAATTTATTACGATTTTTTTTGAATATTTTTGGGAATTTTTTCTAATTTTTTCCTGATTTTTATCTCGATTTTATTATGATTTTTTTCAATATTTTTGGGTTTTTTTTCTGATTTTATCCTGGTTTTTTTTCTCGATTTTATTATGATTTTTTTCAATATTTTTGGGAATTTTTTTCTAATTTTTTCCTGTTTTTTTTCTTGATTTTATTATGATTGTTTTCAATATTTTTGGGAATTTTTTACTGATTTGTTTTTCCGATTTTATTATGATTTTTTTCAATATTCTTTAGATTTTTTTCCCGATTTTTAAAATTTTTTTTTCCGATTTTATTATGATTTTTTCAATATTTTTGGGATTTTTTCTGTTTTTTTTTTCTGATTTTTTTCTGATTTTATTTTGATTTCTTTTTCCAATTTTATTATGACTTTTTTCGCGTTTTGGGGTTTTTTACTGATTTTTTTTTTTCGGATTTTTTTCGGATTCTATTACAGTTTTTCTTCAATATTTTTACGATTTTTTATGACTTTTTTCTGATTTTGTTTTCTGTTTTTTTTTTTTTTTTTTAAATTTTTTTTCTGTTTTTTCTCCGAGTTAATTACTATTTTTCCCAATATTTTTGGGATTTTTTATGATTTTTTTCTGATATTATTCGGATTTTATTATGATTTTTTCAATATTTTTGGAGTCTTTACTGATTTTTTTCAGAGTTTTTAAAATTTTTTTTCTGATTTTTTTTTCTGATTCTTTTTCCTGAATTTTTTCTGATTTTATTTTGACTTTTTTCCAATTTTATTACAATTTTTTTCAATTTTTGGGATTTTTATGTCAGCATGGAAAGGAAAAAGCAAATTTTTAACCAGGATGTTTAGTTATTTGGTTTTGTTGGGTGGGGGTTTGTTTCTTCCGAGTTTTTTTTGTTTGTTTGTTTGTTTGTTTGGTGTGTTTTGTTGGGATTTTTATGACTTATTTTTCTGATTTTTTTTCTGAATTTTTTCCGATTTTATTATATTTTTTTTCAATATTTTTGTGGTTTATTTCAGATTCTTTCTGATTTTTTTCTTATTTTTTCTGATTTCTTTCTAGTTAATTATGATTTTTTCCAATTTTTTTTGGGATTTTTTATGATTTTTTTTCCGATTTTCCCAACATCCCCAACTTTTTCCTCTTTCCCACCCCAATTTTCTCAAAATCCCTGACTTTTCCCCCAATTCCCTTTTCTCTTTCCCTTCATTTCTACTTCCATTTCCCTTTTTCCCTCATTTTCCCCCAAATTTCCCCCTTTTTTTCCCTCTTTTCCCTCTCCCCACCCCCAATTTCCCCCAACCCCCCCGAATTTTCCCAAAATCCCTGATTCTTCCCCCAATTCTTTCTCCTCCCTTCCTCTCCTTTTACTTTTTTTTCTCATTTTCCCCCCAATTTTCCCCCAAACCCCCCAAATTTTCCCAAAATCCCTGATTCTCCCCCCAATCCTTTCTCCTCCCTTCCTCTCCTTTTACTTTTTTTTCTCATTTTCCCCCCAATTTTCCCCCAAACCCCCCAAATTTTCCCAAAATCCCTGATTCTCCCCCCAATCCTTTCTCCTCCCTTCCTCTCCTTTTACTTTTTTTTCTCATTTTCCCCCCAATTTCCCCAAACCCCCCCAAATTTTCCCAAAATCCCTGATTCTCCCCCCAATCCTTTCTCCTCCCTTCCTCTCCTTTTACTTTTTTTTCTCATTTTCCCCCCAATTTCCCCCCAAACCCCCCAAATTTTCCCAAAATCCCTGATTCTCCCCCCAATCCTTTCTCCTCCCTTCCTCTCCTTTTACTTTTTTTTCTCATTTTCCCCCCAATTTCCCCCCAAACCCCCCAAATTTTCCCAAAATCCCTGATTCTCCCCCCAATCCTTTCTCCTCCCTTCCTCTCCTTTTACTTTTTTTTCTCATTTTCCCCCCAATTTCCCCCCAAACCCCCCAAATTTTCCCAAAATCCCTGATTCTCCCCCCAATCCTTTCTCCTCCCTTTCCCCCCTTATTTTTCCCTTTTTCCCTCATTTTCCCCCCAATTTTCCCCCTTTTTTTCCCTCCTTCCCCTCTATTTTGGATGACTCCCTCCTTCCCCTCTCCCCACCCCCAATCTCCCCGAAACCCCCCCGAATTTTCCCAAAACCCTCCTTTTTCCCCCCAAATCTGCAGGGAACGCCCTGCTCCGCCGCCTGGTGCGCATCGGGGTCCTGGACGAGGGCAAGATGAAGCTGGATTACATTTTGGGGCTGAAAATCGAGGATTTCCTGGAACGCCGCCTCCAAACCCAAGTTTTTAAACTGGGCTTGGCCAAATCCATCCACCACGCCCGCGTGCTCATCCGCCAGCGCCACATCCGGTGGGTCCCAGCCCAAAATTGCTGAAATCCCCCCAAAATTTTGGGTGAAATTCCCACATTTTGGGGAGCTCGGCAAGGCTTCACTGCGGCTCCGCCGTACACCTTGCGAAGGGCAGCAGAAACAGGGGGAAGTGCAGGTAAAAAACCCAAATTCCCAAAATTTTGGATGATTTTGGATGTTTTTTGGGAGGTTTGGTGGTTTTGGGGATGTACATCCTGAAATTTTGGGGTTAAATCCCAAATTTTGCGGTTTTTCCACCCAAATTTTTGGATGTTTCACAGCGATTTTCGCAGCAACTCTCCAAGTTCAGGAAGCAATTTTTTGGGTTTTTGTGCCAAATTTTGGAGTCTTTCCCCCCAAATTTAGGATTTTGAGTATGTTTAGGATGGTGTCCGGTGGGTCCCAGCCCAAAATTGCTGAAATCCCCCCAAATTTTGGGTGAAATTGCCACATTTTGGGGAGCTCGGCAAGGCTTCACTGCGGCTCCGCCGTACACCTTGCGAAGGGCAGCAGAAACAGGGGGAAGTGCAGGTAAAAAACCCAAATTCCCAAAATTTTGGATGTTTTTTGGGTGGTTTTGTGGATGCACATCCTGAAATTTTGGGGTT